ACATGGTTTGCATGTAATGATGAATACTCTCACAAAGATTTTACAAGGTATTACATAACAAAAAAAGGACGAAATTAGTTCTGCCTAAAAAACATCTATAGCACCAGTTCCAACTTCTTCCCCAACTTGTTCAAGCTTCATGTTTTCAACTGACCTTTGGACATTTCTCATCTGAGACAGTCCAAACTTAGTATATCTTAAACCTAGCCCATACCCCATCTCTTAAATTGTACATTGTAATACAAACAAATAAATAAACAACAATGTCTATTCGAGACATCATGGTGCATACTCAAGACTGGAATATAATCAAGTCTGCTTAAGCCATTGATCTACTATTTATCTGAGAAAAGTGGAAGGAATTCAAAGTCTACCTAGAACCTAGTTTAAAAAGGGAGAAACAACCTATCATTTGGTGGGTGTCCTCTCCAGAAGACATAATATTTTTGTCTAGCAGTCAGGCATATATACGATCCTTCTGGGGAAAGACAGACAATAGCCAGAAAGAACATTCGACATACTCTTTTGTTGTACTCAGCAAGTCTGTACTCAGCAAGCAGCCTTTGGTTATAATCTGACTGCCTCTGGGAGAAGGAACTGTATGGGAATATTTCTAACTTCAAATTGGTGCTTGGAACTCTTTTGATTTTCCATCTTTTTTCACATTCAGCCACGTGGGATCCTAGAATAAAGGAGGCTCAGAGCCGCCAGCTCCCCAGGCAGCCTCTGCGGCGCTGCCCGTCTCTCATCTTTCTCTCCTGCAAGGCACATAATCCTCAGCTGTCAGCAAATGGTTCTCAGAATCCATTCTCATGAGGTCACTCTCCGGTTCAATCGCCACCAGCCGATCCCTAAGTCTATTTTTTCAAAATCTAAATCATCAGCCTAGAACCAGCCCTCACACCACCATTCCAAGCTTTCATGGCCTTCACTCAGGCAGCTCACGTGCTTACAGAACACACCACGACCAGCTTCTTGCTCGCCTGTGCCTTTGCCTTCCCTCGCCCTCCCATCATGAGGCATTCAGCACATCTCTGAGTTCACTTCAACCCGAGACGCTTTCTCTGATGAGCTGAAACATGCCAGACCCTGCTTTGACGTTGGGTCTCTTAAGGACTTAGGTGCAAGACCAGCATATTCTCCACAAAGGAAGCATAAAAAAAACGGTTTAGATCAATAAGAGACAAATAAGTGGCCAAGTGATTCGATCATCAGATATTCCAAAATATGTTTAATATTTAAATGTATTATATTTGTGCAGGTTACTGTTGTAGGTGATGGGGACATCAAATTACTATACGTACTGCGAAAGGAAAAAACAGAGACCATGAGAGAGGACAACAGGGGTAGCTACTAATTAGATTGGGTAGGACAGGGAGTGACACTGGGGCTGAGCCTCAAAGCATGGGCAGGGCTTCACAAGGCCACGAGTAAGGGGAAAGCAGTTTAAGAAGAATGTCTAAAATATATAAGGGACATTCTCTCAGTTGATAGTTTTTAAAATACTTACAAATGTGATGCTTTTCAAAGCACAATAGAGAGAAATTTAAGATTTGGCTCTTTCCTTAGCAGGATAAGATATAAATAGAATAATCAATTGTATTATTTTTCTTATGCTGCTACAACAAAATACCATAGACTGAGTGGTTTGAACAACAAAACATTGCTTTCTCACAGTTCTGGAAGCTCCTTGTCCATTACGATGGCAGCAAATTGATTTCCAGTGACAGCTCTCTCCCTGGCCAGTTCTCACGTGACCTTTCCTTCATGCACGAGCAGAGAGACAGAGAGAGGGGGAGGGGAGGGGACGAGCCCTCAGGTGCCCCTTCTCACACAGATCCTGTGGGATCAGGGCCCCCACCTTTACAAACTGATTTAACCTTAATTCCCTGGATGGAGTTTCAGGCTCCTGGCTTTGGCCTGGCCCAGCTCTGGCCATGTGATCATTTGGGGAGTGAACCAGCAGATGAAAGTACTCTCCCCCTCCCCCCCGGCCATTTCATCCTCTCTCTCGGTAACTCTGCTTTTCTCTTCCTTTTTTAAGATTTATTTATTCATTTGAAAGGCAGAGTTACCGAGAGAGAGGGAGAAACAGAGACAGAGACATCTTCCATCTGCTGGTTCACTCCCCAGATGGTTCCCACTGCCAAAGCTGGGCCAGGCCAAAGCCAGGAGCAGGACCTTCCTCCAGGTTTCTTACAATTACTCGGGCCATTTTAAGCTGCTTTCCCAGGCACACTATCAGGGAGCTGGATTGGAAGTTGAGCAGCAGGGACTTAAACCAGAGCCCATATGGGATGCCAGTGTTGCAGGCAGTGGTTTTACCCACTATGCCACAATGCCAGCCCCTCAGTAATTCTGCTTTTCAGATAAATAAATAAACTTTTTTAATATGACAGAGTTAGACAATGAGAGAGAGAGACAGAGAGAAAGGTCCTCCTTCCATTAGTTCACCCCCCAAATGGCCGCTATGGCCGGTGCTGCGCCGATCAGAAGCCAGGAGCCAGGTGCTTCCTCCTGGTCTCCCATGCAGGTGCAGGGCCCAAGCACTTGGGCCATCCTCCACTGCCCTCCCGGGCCACAGCAGAGAGCTGGACTGGAAGAGGAGCAACCGGGACTAGAACCCAGCGCTGATATGGGATGCTGGCACCGCAGGCTTAACCAAGTGAGCCATGGCGCCAGCCCCAAATAAATAAATCTTTAAAAATGCAAAATTCCAGAAAAAACCTCATCAGCATGTCGTTCGGAGTGGCAAGATGAAATCACCACGCCATCCACACTGTCTGTGCTTACTGAGATGGAAAAGGTTTTACATTTGTGCATGAATGCATCGGAAAAAACATACTATATGCAGGACCGGTACCACTCACAGTTTCAGGTGTCCACTGGGGACCTCAGAACATACTCCTGGCCGGCGCAGCGGCTCACTAGGCTAATCCTCCACCTAGCGGCACCGGCACACTGGGTTCTAGTCCCGGTTGGGGCGCCAGATTCTTTCCCGGTTGCCCCTCTTCCAGGCCAGTTCTCTGCTGTGGCCCGGGAGTGCAGTGGAGGATGGTCCAAGTCCTTGGGCCCTGCACCCCATGGGAGACCAGGAGCAGTACCTGGCTCCTGCCTTCGGATCAGCATGGTGCGCCGGCCACAGCGTGCTGGCCGTGGTGGCCATTGGAGGGTGAACCAACGGCAAAGGAAGACTTTTCTCTCTGTCTCCCTCTCTCTCACTATCCACTCTGCCTGTCAAAAAAAAAAAAAAAAAAAAAAGACATACTCCTTTTAGATAAGGAGGTGTGAGTACATTCTATTTATTCATTAAAGGAGATTGAGATCTAATATGTTCCGGGTACTTTACATCCAGGAACAAGGCAGGTAGAGCTTCTGCTTTCTCGGAGCTCTAGGCTAGACTGGAAGTGGACACTTAAACAAAGCATTACAGTAAAGGATGATGGGAATAATGACTTGTCTGGTAGCACTAGACCAACAGCAGGGCAAGCCAACCTATTCCAGGGGACCAGAGAAGACCTGCAAGAAGTACATTTGGAGGGTACGCAGAGATTGGCAGGTGATGAGTGGGATTAAGAGAGCTGTAGGCAAAGCTGTATGTGCAAAAGCTCTGAAGCAAGACTGCAGATCAAGAAGCTGTATGCACCTGGAATGTAGAGTATGAAGGGGGAAGAGTGCCACGAGGCTGAGTAAAGAGGCAGGGACCAGACCCTGAAAAGCCTGGAAAGGCAAGGTGAAGAGCTCAGACTACATCCTGAAGGCAACGGAAGTCCTGAGTTGTGGGGGGGTCTAGGACAGAAAGAGAGTCCTAACATCACCAGACTTATCTTCGAAGCTAAGACTTCAGGCAAGAAGAAAGATGAAGGTATATTTGGGAAATAGGGACTTTATGACTGGATGTTGGAGAGAATAAAAATACACCCCCTTTAACATGCCATTTTGAGTTTAAGATACTTGAAAAAATAGCAGGTGCCATAAGGACAGTAATTCCTCAAATACAAACCTCCAAATCTAACTGAATATTAAATAGACCAAGAAGAAGGCCAAGCACAATAAATCATTTACTATTTTTGAGATAGTTTAGTGTGAACCAACTGCACTCACCAGTTAACCATGCTGGATAACAGATGAAAGAGAGATACAAAAAGATTGCTGGAGGGGCTGGTGCTGTGGCGTAGTGGGTAAAGCCGATGCCTTCAGTGCCAGCATCCCATGTGGGTGCCGGTTCAAGTCCTGGCTGCTCCACTTCCAATCCAGCTCTCTGCTATGGCCTGGGGAAGGAAGGAAGGGAGGGAGGGAGGAAGGGAGGAAGGAAGGAAGGAAGCTAGCTCTTGGCTCTTGGCTTTCGATCAGCCTAGCTTTGGCCATTGCAGCTATTTGGGGAGTGAACCAGATGATGGAAGACACCTCTCTCTCTCTTTCTCTCCCTCTGCCTTTATGTAACTCTGCCTTTCAAATAAATACATAAATCTTTGAAGAAGAGAGAGAGAGAGATTGCTGGATGGTGACTTCAAGCAGGTCTGTCAAACAATGTGGTCTTGTTGTAGATGAGAAGAAAACACTAACAACAGAGATACTAGACTGGTGAACAAAAGTCAGAAAAGAGACTTGGTTTTTTTAAGGGAGAGGGAGATCTCATCTGCCTTCTCACCTCCTAGATGCCTGCAACAGCCAGGGCTGGGACAGGCTGAAGTTAACAGCTGGGAATCCAATCCAGATCTCCTTCCAGAGTGGCACAGACTCAACTACTTGAACCATCACCAGCCGCCTCTGAGTGTGCATGGCAGGAAGTTGGAGCTGAGTGGAGCCAGGGCTCAAACCCAAGCACTCCAATACGGCAGTGCCTTAACTGCTATGCCAACGCCTGTCCCAATCCTATGGCACTCTGAACGTATCAGAGTAACTCTGGAGTATTGTGTTCCATTAAAAGGGTCAAATTTTACTATCTCTTACCCATCACTTTCTTTCCATTCCCACTATCAGATTTTCTCATCTCATACCTGGTATGGTAGATGGTTTCCAAAGATGGTCCAAAAATCTCGTAGCACAGGACTTCGGCAATGTCACGTTGCCATACTCCCATGAAGAAGTCAAGTCTCTTTCTCCTTCTGGTGAATTCCAGTTGGTTGTGTGTCTTACTTTGGCCAATAATAAGGACTGGGTTGCTGGTGCTACGGCTCAGTAGGCTAATTCTCCACCTGCAGCGCTGGCACCCCAGGTTCTAGTCCCGGTTGCTCCTCTTCCAGTCCAGCTCTCTGCTGTGGCCCGGGAGGGCAGTGGAGGATGGCCCAAGTGCTTGGGCCCTGCACCTGCATGGGAGACCAGGAGGAAGCACCTGGCTCCTGGCTCCTGGCTTCAGATCGGCACAATGTGCCAGCTGTGGTGGCCATTTGGGGGGTGAACCAACGGAAGGAAGACCTTTCACTCTGTCTCTCTCACTAACTCTGCCTGTCAAAAAAAAAAAAAAAAAAAAAGGACTGGGTTTCATTTACAGACGTTGGTCATAAGGAGCCTCACAGGTTCCATTTTTGCCCACCTGGTTGCCATCTACCAAATCAAGAAGCTGGGACTAGACTGACTGAAGAGAAGCCAAAGCCAGGAGAGATAACATGGAGGAGAACTGAGCGGCTCAATCAACAGCCAGCACTAGGACCCTGGTCATGTGAGCCTTGAAGCCATCTGGGGTCTTCCAATGCTAACCAAGCCAACAATGGTAACATTCACCTGTGTGACTGTCCAGCATGGGAGTCCTTAGCCACATAGGTCTACTGAGTCCTTGGAATATAGCTAGGACACCTGAGGAGCATTTTTTCACTTCATTTCAACTAATTAAATTTTAAATAGCTGGTGGTGACTATGTAAGTCAGCACAGAGGTCTCTGAAGTGAGTACTGGGTGACACTGCTTGGTACACCTGCACCCCCTATAGGATTGTCTGCTTTGAGTCCTGGCTCCTCTGCTTCTTGGTCCAGTTTCCCGCTAACGTGCATCCTGGAAGCAACAGGTGACGGCCCCAGTAGCTGGGTCCCTGCCACCCTTGTGGGAGACGCAGATTGAATTCTGAGCTTCTGGCTTTGACCTGGCCTAGCCCCAAGTAGTGTAGGCATTTGGGGAGTGAACCAACAGACAGAAGATCTGTGTCTGTCTGTCTCTGCCTTTCAAATAAAATGAAAATAAATAAAAATTTACATACAAAACCACGCCTCTGGACTTCCAATCCCAAACTCCTCCCAATACACCGGAAAACCTTTCCTATCAAGAATAAAAATTCCTAGTTGCCTTTTGAGATCTTTCCATGCTCTGGGCACCTAAGTTAACCCTTTCCAGTCACTGCCTTAACTCTTACCAGACTGATCAAGTATCTCTGGCCTTCACCTTCGCTTTTTTCTTCAAGATTTATTTTTATATATTTGAAGGGCATAAGTAGAGAGAGAGAAAGAGAGAGAGAATGAATCGATCTTCCCTCTGCTGGTTCACTCCCCAAATGACCACAATAGCAGGGGCTGAACCAGCCCAAGGCCAAGAGCCAGGAGCTTCTTCTGGGTGGGTGCCTGAGCCCAGGGGCTTGGGTCTTCCTCCGCTGCTTTCCCAAAAGCATTAGCAAGGAGCTGGATCATAAGTGGAGCAGCCAGGGTTCCAACTGGCGCCCACCACTATCTTCTCTTGTAATTCTAACCATCCTTCAAAGCCCACTTAGCATCTTTCTCTCTTTCCTCAATCTTCTTAATTTTTACATTTGTAATGAGCTCTTTTGTCCCGTCATTTTCCCTGCAAATGGACGGCCATCTCCTTGAGGACAGAAGCCATCCTGTAACTTTGGGGCGTGGAAATCTTCCCAAATATCCCCCGAGCCGTGGATGGGTACTTCTGGAATGCATGAATGCCCTAAACTCGAGAGAAACACTTCTTGATTAATCTACATCAGCCCCAAACCCTGGCGTTTTGCTGTGTTACCCTTTGCGCAGTCTACCGTGCACCAACTCATTCGGAAAGGCGGAGTAGACCCGAGACCGCAGCCCCGCCACGTAACGCTCCCCGCCCGCTCCGTGACGCCACTCCCCGACTGCCGGTTGCCGATTGGGCGTGGTGCAGTCTAGCGTGGCCGATTGGGCGTGGCGTGCGTGGGTGAAGGCGTGACTGGGAAGAGGAACCTACGCGCCCGGGCCGAATCGGCAGTTTCCGGATGTCCTCGCCCATTTCCGGCAAACGGTCTCCTCCTCCACCGACCCATCTCGGGCATTTCCGACTTGTTTCGGGCCTTTCCGCCTCGCTTTCGCGCAGCTCGCTCCACTTCGGGTATTTCCGTGTCCCGCTCGGCGGGGCTCGGCAATCGCTCGGCCTCCCCCATCCCCCGGTAACGGTCGCTGGTGAGTTTAAATGAGCCGGGGCTGGCCGGGCCGAAGCCGCTACGGGGGGGGGGCCTGAGGCACTGCAGAGAGTGGGCCTGAGCCTCAAGGATGACGGTGCTGCAGGAACCCGTCCAGGTAACGATAGCCCCCTTCTCCGAGGCCTGGCCCGCAGCCTCGGTCGGGAAGCCGCGTATGGCCACTTCGCGGCCTGCTGCGGCCTAGGCCCGACTGCCTCTCCCGCCTCCCCTGCTGCGGGTCCTGCCTCCGAGCCGAGGCCTTGCCCGCCGCCGCAGCCGTGTTGCTCCCGATCCCGCGCTGCCTCTGTCCCGAGCGGGAGCGGGTTTCGAGGATAATGGGCGCTCTCCCGTCCGAGCCCACGTCCGGCCAGCCCAGCCCCTCCTGGTAGTCCAGGGGCCTGGCCTGGCTCGGACTGAGGGGAGGCGGCCCGAGACGCCCCTGGGTGCCCCCTCGGCTGAGGGATGCGTGAGGAGCACTTTGGATCCGAGCTTGTGTCAGCTCCGTAATGGCGGGGCAACTTTGCAGGGTTTTTTGTTTTGTTTTGTTACACGGGTGAGGATGGAGGGAGGGAGGGAAGGTAGGATGGGTATTTTTAATATTAATTTCTGTGTTGGTAACAGACACGTTGCCTTTCTTGCCCAGTGACTTTCCCACCGGAGGAGGAGGATCTGAGAACTCCAAGGCCCAGTGCTGAGGGGCAAGCACCTATGCTGGGGGGGGGGGGGGGTGGAAAGGGCAAACCTGGGTTTTTCCTTTACCGGTGGTGGGAATCGGGAACATTTGATTGTTCAAGTTCGTCAGGCGTCCAGGAAATGGAAGACAAACGGCTTTTCCGTCCATCACTGCCGTACCACACCAAGGGGTGCCTTGGGGCTCCGCGCTCTGTTGGCGTGGGAGGACCCTTGTGGGCTCCTACGAGGGTGATGCAGTGCAGGTCACTGTCCCCCCTGCCTGTCTGAAGAACGGAACCTTTTGTCCCTTGGTGATGGATCGGGCCTGGGAGATTTCATCCCACCATATATGGTCTTTGACTCGATCACAGAGGAGCTGACCTCTGTCAGCTGCTGTCACTCAGTCATAAACTTTGAAGTTATGAAGAAAATCAATTTTAGAAATCCCTTCATATTGTCCCTAATAGGCCTGTGATTTCAAATTGTAAATATTTTAATACATCAGTACTTCCATAAACATGCTTAATTTTTCTTCACAGCACGAAATTCTCATTCCTCCTGGTTTGGTTTCTTTTCCAGTTCTTTACCCATGTAGCTGTCAGTGTTGGAATTAATATAATGGAGGATTCTGTCTTAGGAAATTTACCTGTTTGCAAGTTGTATCAGTTTTTCCAAAGGTATTCCACAGCAGTTTCTCTTCCCAATATGGAGTAATTTTTAAGAATTTTTTCATCACAAAGTGATTAGTTTCTATTTCATACTCTTGTAATTTTGTCTTAGTGATTCCTTTTCTTTGGCCCTTAAAACCTTCTAAAGTGATGAACTAGTTACATTGATAGCATATAACCACTGTTTAATAATAATTTCAACTGTATAAAGTATGAAAAAGAAAATAAATGGCTTGCTTCTATATAGTACCCATCAGGTTTCCTATTTTTCTTTAAAATACTCTTAGCAATAATACACTTAGATATTTTAAGTCTTAAAAAGTCTAATTTGTCTCCCCACCCCCCCATGTTAGATTTGGGGGTGGTGGTAGGGAGTTTCAGGCTATGGCTAAGTGAGAATTTTGGTAGTAATTTGGTTGAGCTCTTGTAGTGTAAGAAGAAAGCAGTCAAGGGATCTGGAGCAGTGCGAGGAAAAGCAACTTTGGCTCCAAAGACAAATATCAAGGACAGTGGTGAAAATGGGAAAGAAGAGAATAAAAATAGGACAAGATATAGTCTTCTAAAAAAATATATATTGACTGATTGTATATATTTAAAAAGGAATGAGAGTAAGCTGGAAATTTGTTTCTTTCTAGACTGCCTTAGGGTTCACTATATTGCCAGGTGTAGGAAATAGTAGACAGAAAAGTTGAGCAACTGTTTACTTTTTTTCTTTAAACTTTTAATATGGAACTGCCTTCTCAAATTACCTCTCATAGAAAAACATAATATTTGAGTCTTTACAAAAATCATATTCTGAGACAAAAGTTCTTCAGTTACTTTCAAAGTAACTTCGGGAAAGAGACACTGGCCTAAATGACTTCAATCAGTGCTAATTTGGTTGTATATAAAAGTCACCCAATGAATAAAATGTTTTAAGAGGCAGATATTTGTATAGATTTATCAGTAATTCCTGGGGTTAAGACTTTTAAAACATGTCAGAAGAAATTGTAAACAAGCCTTTTGAAAATCATTTTAATAAGCAATATAGTAATTGGGTACTATGTATACCATATCCTTTTACAGTTCATTAGGTAGAAGGAGTATTTTTGGCTTGGTATAAGATGACTGGGGACAGCATTTATCATGGATTCAAAGAGTACCGATTTCTACTGTATGAGAAATATAATGGTGAGGAGGGAACGAATAAAAACTAGTCTCAAAGATGACGGTAATCTAGACTAAAGTGGTGGCAGTGGAGTAAGAAGAAAATAGATAAATTTGAGAGATGTTTTAAAGATGGAAATTTAAGAAATAGTTGGGAGGTAGAATCAGTAAGACATGGAAATTGATTGGATATGGGGGACTGGTCGATATCATGATTGTTCTTTTGGTAGTGTTGTTTAAGAAATGGAGACTCCTTGGATGAGCAGATTTGAAGCAAGGCAATCAACAAACTAAGTTGTAAGGAGAAGAATGGACTCTTAAATCATAATCTTTTGAGGGTTCTAGTCTTGGAATAGTAAGAATACATAACCCAAAAAAATTGGGTGATGTTACAAATCAGTATGTATTTGTTTGCACAGATACTAATAAAGGAATTCAGGAAAGAGATCCTTGTAGGCAAGA